CTGTTATGAATCGGGCGACCCCTGTGAAAGGGTCATTTGACGCCTCAAAGGGGTCACGACCCACAGGTTGAGAACCGGGCCTGTAGAGCCTGCAGCCTAGAAAACCCTATGGGACAGTTCTTCCACTTGATCACATGGAAGTCAGGTGAGTTGGAATCAACGTGACTCTGCCCAACAACAGGGAAGTCCCATTTTTAACAAAGGGATCCCCCCTCCACCCCAACCAACCTTCTCTCATTGCCAACACACTAAGTCCTTTAAGGTAGAGGCTTACATTCTTTTACAATTAAAAAAAAAGTTATAACATGGTCAAGTACACAATTTAAGTGTACAATTTAATAAAATTTTACTTAATCATAACATACACACACCCCTATGTAACCACAACCCAGATGAAAAAGCCTAGAAATCATTTTCAACATTCCAGACAGTCCCCTTAACCCCTTTCAGTCAAAATCCATGCATGTTCTGAGGTTACCACTATTTTCAGTGGTCCATCCTTTTCAATGGTGCTCAATATCCGTCATAATGTGTTGCATCACATGAATGACAAACACACCACCTTGCATTTACCCAGAGTAATGTGCCAGTTAGGTTGCTTCCACTTATTTTTGTTTTCCTAGTCTCCACTTAATTTGTATAAACTACTATGACCCTTCTTGTCCGTCTTTCAGTGGATCCGTGCATCCGTTTTCCCTGCCCTGGCCTAAGTGTGTCTTTAGCTGTAATAGAGATCGTTTGTTTTTCTAAGTGGTTTAATAAACGTATGTTCCAAACAACAATGGGCAGGGAGTTTCACTCGTTTCACATCCTTGCCAACGCTTGGTATTTTCAGTCTTTTACAATTTCAGTCATTCGGATGCAGTGGTATCTCATTGTGGTTTAAATTTACAGGGTTTTTTTTCCTGACAATAAACGACTCCGAGCACTTCTTAATATGTTTCTTTGGTTATCGTTTTTGCCAAATTTTTATTTAAGTCTTCTATTGATGAGTAAAAAATATTCGTTGAAATTATAGGACGTATGAATGTTAGAGTCCTAAGGACATCAAGGAAAAGCCTTTATTTCTAAATGTCTTCCTCAAAGATCAAACACTTAAAAAATTGTTCTATCACTCAGTATATTCGTTCTGAAAACACATTTTCTTATAAGAAACATGTCTGAGGTCTGTTTATTCTCTGGTATCTTTTGAAAAATAGTTCTTTATCTTATTGAAGTGCAATTTAACAAACTCTTAAAATAAAATGATTAATGATTTACTTGTCAACCAGTTAAAAAATCTTGACTTATCTCTGAATTATGAAGCATTATCCTGTTTCATTCTAGAAGCTGCATTGTTTTCATGAATGATTAGTGAACCTAAATTTGAAATGCAGTGAGAATCTGCCTAGTGCCACACACTTTAGGCACACACACAGCAAACAAAACCAAATGTGCTGGAAAGTGAGCGGTCTCTACACTCTGTCACAGCAGACCTGTTAGAATAACCAATTCCTGCAGCCAAACAGCATTCAGAAAAGGCATCATTTTGGTATGATTTTCTATCCAACTTAGGAGCTGAAAGAGGCTTTTCTTGAGTTAAGTCAGGCTATAAAAAGGAAAAAGAATGTACCTTTTGGGGGGGCCTCCTTTACCTCTTCTTTACCTCACTCCAGCTCTATCCAGCACACGCTATAACTAAATGTTGGGGGAAAGTAACCCTCAACGACAGGAGAGATCACTGAGACCCCGAGATATTTTTTCCTGCCAGTCTGTCTAATTCTTTCACTAAGCCATTCACCACTCTTTATACAGACTGACTACCCACTGTGTGCTCAGTGCTCTTGGCCAAGGACAAGAACAAGCTCAAGATCTCTCTTGCAGAGATTTGTGAAAGTCTAAACTGATGTAAAAATTGTGCTTATAAACATTTTCTCAAGAGAGGGTTCATACGGTTCATTAACTTCTCAGAGGATCAGATGAAAAACTCAATCCTGATTTTCCCTAGCCCATCACACAGTGTTTATGTGTATATGGGCACACATACACAAGTGCAAAGGAAGGTAAGGTAGAGAGAGCAGTATGCCCAATTTTAAAGTAGAGCAGAGACGAATGAGACACTCATGGTAAGACTAAAAGAGCCCAATCTTTACAAAGTGAAACCCATTTCTGTTTTCCCCAATTTACTGTATCAAAGGAGAACCTATCCTGTAAGGTGATAAGGTGTCTACATCTTACACCGTGAAGCTATTCACCGACAATAAGAAGACATTAAAATTATATATTTCCAATTAAAATCCGACCTTCATTCATTGGCTAATCTTTCTAAACACCGCTTTCAGTATGGCCTTCCTCTCTCCTCCCTGTGTTCATGCAAATCTTAATCTCACACAGTTCATCTTAGATTGGCTTTCTCCATAGTTGAAAGGTCTTTGAGCCTTCATGTCCCCAATTTGGGTTCCAGAATTTATCTGAGAATCTTTAAAAAGGTATCAAGACATTAGCCTCAACCCCACGGGCTCCAGTTTGGTAAGGTCTATGGTGAGATCCACGAACTGGCTTTTCGAAGGCTCTCCTGAAAAGTTTCTAGGCTTAGTCGCCCTGCTCTTTCCGGTGTACACAAGCGACTGTCCCTGTTTCAGCATGCCTACAGGCTTCCCCTAGCATTTCCCCACAGTTGTTTATCATATACAAAAATCATGTAGAGTCCTAGAAGCTAGTTTCAGTGTTGCTTGGCCATACAGGATATGTACAATAAAAGTTTACTAAATTAATGAAACCGGGCCCTATTGCTGGACAGAATTAGGCTCTAATCTCCTTCTACTTTGACCTCAAAATTCCCTCTCTGTAAATGGGGATACTTAGCCCTAAGTGGCAGGATTTGTTAGGCTTTGATGAATTAATATACATAAAGCCTCCAGCTAAAACAAGGCTTTGTTTTAAACCACTGTGCTCTGTACCCAAGACATGACTGAACACTACCTGTCTTAGCCTTCTTGCAGTTAACCCCAGCTGCCGCTTAGGCGGGCATTCCACATTGCAGAGATGCTGCTTTCGGAACTAGATCTCACGACTTAACAGAAATTCAGGACGCATAAATAGTGGTGTCAGGCCACTTTCACCTCCAACCAGCTGCTTCTTTGGTGGGCATTTGTACATGTCCATAGACGTTCCAGGCACTCATATGGCAGAGCTCATGAACTTCAAACAGTGGCTCTTATGCTGTATTTAACCGGTGTAAATTTCAAGAATGTGGTGTTTCTTTTCTTCTACCCTGTTTCTTTTCTTCTCTGCCCTGTCTTTGTAACTTAGTTACTCCATAGCCCTGAGTCATGAGCAAAGATAGCAGCACAGATGAACAGTAGCATCTTACATCAGCCCTCCTTTGTGGAAGAAGGCAGGACCAGACTGAACATTAAATAAACTCTTCAAACTTCTAGTGATGTTCTGGAGTCAGCTTTAAGATATTCCTTCTCTATGGGTACCCATTACGTTCTATATGGAGTCTCCTCTCATGTACATCCAATTGTGCACACTTTAATATTAGAGTGGTACTCAGGCAAACTGGAAACAAGCTACTAAGCAAGCACTAGACATCATTCTAACTCACTTCTAAAATCCGAGTCATAAAACTAGTAAGCCACACACATTCACACACTGCTATGTAGTTCCAATGAAACTTTTTTTTTTAAAGTTTAGGAAAAAAGATTTCAGGAAGGGTAACAACAAATCAATAAAATGCAACATGACAAACAAGAAACTTCAAATAAACTACACTGGAAGTTTAATATTCTTTTTTTTTTTTTCAGTTTTTAAAATATTCTTAATTTTACCAAATATGTCAAGCAGCTCACATTTCTCTCTTAATAGGAAACTCAAGCTTGGCAAATAAATTGTTGGTCTCACAAGAAATTGATCTTGTTTTGATGAAGTTTTTGTTTCAGGAATTAAGACACCATATGCATGATTTGTGCGGTTTTTTCACTTTCACATGAAAATGAAAACGAAGTAAAAACAAGTCACAGAAAAATGTTACTGTTTAACATTTTAAATTCAGCATTGAGTTTAGAGAAGCTAATCTTAACCACAATGAGTTTACTCACCCAGGCCCTGACATTTCTAAACACAGACGGAAATAAGAGAACTATGATTGTTTTAAGGGGCTATACTGCTTTCTTAGTATTTTTTGAGGAAAAAGTGGTTTCCCACATCTCTAACTAACTTCTCACTAAAAACAGTAAAAGATGAAAAAATAACACAAGTCCAGGGGCCAATTATTTCTACTTTTAAACCAGTCAACAGACTACACAGTATACTCCATTTTATATTGAATAAATAATGTTCTTCAGTTAAATATTTGGCTTTGCACCAACCAATATTTATTTGTCAATCAACAAATCTTAGAATTCATTTACGTACATTTGCTCATGGACTAATTTGCCTCAAGTTTCCAAGACCCCTAATAAGAACCTGTTTTGGTTCATTTCTAATTTCTTATTCCCTACAAATGTATGCTCCTGTTTTATGGGCTTTCAAAAATATTTAGTAGTGTGTATTCTTAGAATTACAAAAGACATTCAGATTGACATATGGAGTGTGCACACCACACTTCAAGTCAAGCTGAAACTTAACAGGCTCAGTACTTCCCAATTTGGAAATTAGGCCTTGAGCAAATTCATAGTTTAATTCTCAAACCTCCAAATAAAATTTTGATACACTGGGCTCCCTGGTGACTCTAACATGCTTCTAAGTTTGAAAACCACTGACCTCGGGTGTGAAAATTTAACATAGACAGAGTGTATATACATAGATAGATAGATAGATAGATAGATAGATAGATAGATAGATAGATAGATAGATAGATAGATAGATAGATAGGCAGGCAGGCAGGCAG